TTTTTTTTTTATTTTATCCTTTTTACTTTATTATTTTTCAATCTTTTTTATTTCTTAACGGTTTTGATTATTTAATAATGATTATGTTATTCACATTATGTTATTCACCATGTTATTCACACCATGTTATTCACTATTTACACTACACTATATTATTCACACTATATTATTCATACTATATTATTCACACTATATTATTCACATTATATTTATTCACAATGGAAAAAAATATATATAAAAAAAGAGTACCGTAGTGTACCATGATGTTTTTTTAATTGGTCAATTTTTTTCTTTATTATTACTCCATAAAAAAATTTTTGGATAGAAAAAAAGAAAACTCTTTTTTTTTGGTTAAAAGATCTTCGAATTATAAATTTTATAGTCATACCATAATTATTATAGAACTTTAAATTTTTTTTTTTTTTTTTCAAACTTTTTATTACAAGGAAAGAACAATTCTCGAAATTGGTCTTTCGGATTATCATAAATGTATTGCTACATAAAAAAGGGTGTTTTTTTGATATGTATACGGGGAAATTAATTACAAAAAAAAACATAAATTCTATTTAGAGAATTATAAGTATGGTAAAAAAAAAAAATAAAGTAAAACGAAACGTAAAATGAAAAACATAAATTTAAATTTGTAAAAAAAAATGTGTAGAATTTTTTTTCTATTGTATATATATATATATTTTTTTGGAGTTTTTTTTTTGATGTGAAAAAAATGAGAAAAAATATGAGAGATACCTAGTATACAAAAACTTTGAACCACGAATTATATATATGTAATACATATATCACATATTGAGTTATGAAAGGAATAATAATATTTACTTAAATTCGGGAGAGAAAAAAAAAAAAAAAATATATAATATAAAAATATATAAAAACGAGTTAATACGAAAAAAAAATGTTTTGATAAAAATACATGATAAACAAAGAAAAAAAAAAAAAGTAAAATATATATATAATAAAAAAAAATATATTATTTTTTTTTAAAAAAAACGAATTTCATTAACATTAATTATGATTGGAATTAGAAAAATCCCATTCAGTAGGAGAAGTTACACCTTCTGCCATATAATGAACCAAAGAATTTACGTGAGGTAATTGCATATGAATATTAGAAGTTGGAGGATAGGGAGCTGATAAAGATTTTGGGGAACGTACATGAGATCTTCCTAAAATTCCCCCAGAATTACCATAATGATGATGTTCAGTAATCAAAGAGGGAATCGCTGGAGGAGAATGCATATGATGATTATGATAATGATTATTACCACCATGAGTAAATGAATGAGCTGTCCCATTAGGTAAAGTTCGATTATGATCGGAATAATAACGAATTGGGTTATAATTATAATGATGTTGACGTAAATCGTCATTATGATTTAAAACATGACCATTTAAATCATCGAATGATGGTGTTGAAGTTAAACTAGTTAATCCACTTCTTCTTCTCTGAGCTGGTGGTTTTCCAACTACGGATCTTTGTTGAACGGGAGGTTTTGGATATTTTTGATTATAAATTTTACTTGCTTCCCTTGCAATTTCTTCATAATATTCTACGATATGTTCAGGTTCATCTCTCCAAGCCGAAGCTACCGAAGCTGATACACTTCTCATAGGTAAACGATAATCCCTTGCATGTAATTCTTTAACATATTGCATTCTATAAATCATGAATGCATTTGGAGGTTTTGTTGGTAATTTAGATTTTGCTTTCCTTGGTTTCAATATTAATTCTTCTGGATTTACACTTGGTGGAAATGGTACTTTAATAATTGGCAAAGGAGGTTGAGGTCGACTATTTCGTTGATTTGGAGAAGCGATTGAAGATGACTCATCTATAATAACCCATTGATTATTATTATGATAATGACTTGGATAAGCTTGAAGAGGTGACATATTTTTATTTTTATTTTTTATTTTTTCTTTGTTTGATTCGAATACGACGATTTTTGATTTCTTTCTTTAATCGAACTATTGGAAAAAATGAAAATAAAAAAAAAAGGTTTAAAAAATATATATATATATTTTTCATGAGAAAAAGATTTTTTTTTAAAAGGGGAGGAAAAAAAAAATCCTTTAATTTCGCTTGAAAAAAAATAGAAATTTGTGTAAAATGTGTGGGTTTTTAAATTAAAAAAAATTACATTGTTCATAATCAAAATCTCAATTTGATTGAGGTAAAATTAAATAATTGTTTTTTGAATTTATTATGTTCAACATCAAAAATAATCAAAATGAAATCTTCTTTTTCAAGAAGAGAGATAGAAGAAAAAATATAAAAAAAGGAAATATATCAAAAAAAAAAAAA